CTGGTTCTCTAGTAGAATCGATCCTATTGATGGGGATCTATGGAGGGTTGATGGCCCAGTGTCCATCGCGCTGTGATGATTGGTACCACATGCATTGAGTATATGTTGCATTTGCATTTATGAGTCTTTGTGTATAAATTATGATGTTGTGACCTTTGAGGCATATGTGAGTAATATGAATGTGTTGAATATGAATATGTTGCCGTTTATGCATTAATTATCATACATTGATTATTATGAATTGTTTTACTCACCCTGCCTGTTTGAATGTTACCTCCACGTGGGTAACGTGCAGATGAGCAAGTTTAGCCGTGGACGCCGTCGAGGAGTATTTTGAAGTTTTAGAGTCGTTAGCCTTTATGGTTAATTTAGAGGGTCTTGCTCTAATATGTAACATCGGGTTGGGTTCTTTGAGTTGATTGTATATCATTAGGTTATTTTACTGATGTTCCCTTATGAGTTATGAGGAAAGCATTGAGTTATATTTTGAGTTCCGCTGTATATGATGTTTTGATGTATTTTGAGAAAACCTGTGTGTTACGGAGTATTGACCAACTTTGTTGACTTTGAGAAATGTACGCCCTTTTGTGGCTCTTTAATGAAAGTTAGTATTTTACTCTGAAATCCGTGTTATTTTACCGTAATATTTGTGGGGTAGAATAAGGGTGTTACAAGCTGACACCTGCTGATGTCATATGGCGCCCATTCGAGAATCATAGAGTATGGCGTCAGTTCGATGAACTATGTCTATATAGGGGGTGTTTGAGGTGGGGTGACACTATTGTTCCATACTTTCCTGACAGATGTATGCGTCAGTTTAGATACAGGCAGTATGTTCCACATCCACCTCTTGATCATACGATGGCTGGTGATATTGATATTGACTGTATTAGTTATCATCGGAGCGTTCAGAATGTGATTCGTCCGACAGCACCGACCACCACCCCATATGAGACAGATGATGGATATCTTGAGTGGTATTATCGTGTCTCTCATCCTCGTCTGGTACCACCACCCTATCATGATGCGCCAGCAGAGATGTCAATTCTTGTATATGAAGCAGGACCATCTGATCCTAGCTGGGCTCGTGTGTCTTCGTTGATTCATCGTTATCTTCAGCAGGCTGGTGCTGAAGATGATGACCCACGGTTTGCGAATTTGTTCGAAGCTTTACATATTGCTCGATTACAGTGACTTATATTTATATTTATGATTATATGTTAACTTTTAGACTCATTTGACCTAATTGTTTTATGTTTATGTGTTAACTTTTAGACTCATTTGATCTAGTTGGTTTATGTTTAAGTGTTAACTTGTAGCCTGAAATAAAAAATGAATAACTTAATTCACGATTCATGTTTTGAAATTAAAAACGAGTAACATAATTCATTATTCATGTTTTAAAATTAAAAATGAGTAACATAATTTATAATGTATAATGCGTTGATAATATAGGCGTAAGTTGTTGCTAATGTTGTAGACGTCATGCAAATCCTAGCATCCAAGATGTTGCTGCTGGAGAACGAAAATTCTTCCAATCTACTGTCACCAGTGGCAAGGGAAACCCTTCTTTCATGTATACCTAAATAAAAAAATAATCAAAATAGTAAGTAAAAATAACGAAAAAGACTTAGGGTTAATCGCATTATCTAAAAACAACTAAGTACCTGAACCCAATGATTTCTGTTTACAAAACCAATGCAGTAAATTGCTACATTCGGTGAAAATGAAGTTGTCATAGGGAAGAAAGTCCAACATTCAATTCCTAAACAGAAAAGTACAACATTATAACGATTCGCTATCACGTAACCCATATCTGGTGGTTGAGGACCGACTTCCTCTATCATCAAAGATTCTCTCACCACTGCTAACTGATCAGTAAATAAATTGGCATACAAACTTGATCTTTCATTATGTATTATTTCCAACCCCAAGTCTCGACGAACCATTGGCCAACCATCTTCACCAAATCCATGCAATGAAGCAATGACTCTAAATCCACAATTACCATCTGATGCAACATTAACTACATCATCAATATATGACCGAATGTGATTAGGAAACTGAAGGATGAACTGCTTAGATGACTGTGAAGATTGTGATTATTTCAACTTCTTCGAAGCTTGTGATGGTTGAGATTTCTTTTGTGAAGACTGTGATAATTTCAACTTCTTCAAAGATTCTGATGGTTGAGATTGCATCTGTGAAGGTTGAGATGCTTGATCAACATACTCGTGATACGAAGGGTCTCTATAAACATCATATCCCACCGGTTTTTTGTCTTTCTTCTTGACTCCCCCTTTAGTTTTTATTTTCTCAGGTGGTGGACACATATAAGTCATTGTAGGGAAGGTAAGTTCAAAAACCCTACTTTTTAATGCCCTTTTCCCAACAATATCCAGTGACTTAAACCTTTTCCATAACTCATCTATTGCACTCCTCATATCCACCTCTGATCCATCATCTACGTCTTCATCCAACTTAACTTCCATACTTAGTTTTCTCCAATGAACATGTACATCATCTATTGGTATCGGTATATCATCAATTCTATATCCTGTCAACTCATAAGCACAAGGTAATCCGTAGGTTGTTCTAAGAGTACAACGACATATTTCCTTGTTAGTTCCAACATAATCAACTTGTTTTAACTCTTCAGCAATGCGTCTCAATGCATCTCGAGACACTGAACCACGTAAATTATTGTAAAATGGACTTACGTGGGCATGCTCAACTTCATAAAAACTCTTTTGAAAATAAGCTCTAATATTACCCAATTGTAACTTTAAGTTGTCATTCATATCCTTCCAACATTTGACCATGTCACCAATACTGTTCCCCAACATTTGCTTTAACTTTCAATGAGCATACTCAACCCTAAAATTAATACATATTAAAAATATTTTAAAAAAATTAAAAAAAATATACAATTTAGAAATACTAAAAATAAATACATACCGATTAGTCGTGGTGTTACCCAAATGTAGCACTCGATTAATCCATGCTCCAACAAATCTTTGTCTATGTGGTGTCAACCATGTGTCCTTCACATAATCAATAAATTCATTACAATCAACACACCTCTGCTCAAGTTGGTTCAACCTTTGATCATACTCAACCTCATCACTAGCCCATACAACATCCGTCCATAATTCGTCAATTTTATTTTGCATGTCACTAGCCACATATTGTTTCCGTTTTGCACCAACATTCTTGTTAATATGAAATCGACATAGCATATTGATCGACCTTGGAAACACAATTTCAATGGCTTTCATCAAAGCAAGATCTCTATCTGTCAAAAATCACTTGTGGACACAACTCTTTCTTCACAAACAATTGTTTAAGTTTATCTAGCACCCAACAAAAAGTCTCAGTTTGCTCAGACTCAATATAGGCAAATGCGACCGCAAAAGTCAACTCGGTTGATGTCATGCTAACAATTTCAAACAGAGGTTGCCTATATTTGTTTGTCTTGTAAGTGTTGTCCATAACTAGCACAATAGGAAAAATATTCAACAACTTAACTGAATCTGGATGAGCCCAAAAGATATCTCTAATAACTTCAGAGTCATCTCTTTTTCTACTCCAATAAACATAACCTGCTTCCTCAATAAGCTTAAACAAATGTTGTATCTCACTTCTAGGACCTCTTATATTTTTTTTCTATCATACTCTTCTGTTTGTATATTTGCGTGATCCGAGTGACATTATCCGGATCTTGCTCTTGCAATGAAAGCAATATATGTCTAGGTGGAACCTTTTTCTTTGTCAAATCAACAACATGTTGCTTCTGATCCGCTGTCAACCTATCGACAAATGCGTGACCTTCTAATCTATCAGGTAAATCATGGTTATGAACTCCACATTTTACATCAATCTTCCATCCAGATCCATCAGTCGCTGGAATTGATCTGATTCTAAATGGACATCCACATTTTTTCGTCGCACTCTGGGTTCCACTATCAATATCTCTGTGTTTTCCTCCTTTATCACATCCAAATATTAATTTGTTACTTCTTCCTCTCTTGCCTGTTTTAATATCTGAACGAGTGATGATAACCGTAACTTTATTTTGGATTCCAATCTCTTTAATCCATCTTATTACCTCTTTTCGTGTACCAAATCTTTGAGTTGTTGAAAAAATATCAGACGTATCTACGCATATCTGATCTTTATCGCATATTTGTAAAAGAATTTCTGAAACTACATAAAAAAAATTCAAAAAAAAAAAATTGGACAATTCAAACCGGAAGAGTTGTAGCAAGAGTTCCGGTAGTCAAAAAAACAAACCGGAAGACTTGTAAAAAGTCTTCCGGTTTGTTTTTTTTGCTACCGGAACTCTTGCTACAACTCTTCCGGTGAACACCCACGAAAATTACCAAACCGGAAGTCTTTCATAAAGTCTTCCGGTACATTATTTTTGTGAACCGAAACTCTTTGCCTAAGTCTTCCGGTTTGAGAAAAAAAGCCTACCAGAAATCATTTTCAAAGTGTTCCGATAGATCGTGGAATGAATTTCTCGGAAGTTTAAAAAATCTAAAAAGTGAAAAAAATAATAAAATATTAAAATATATAGGAATAAAATAGATATTTTTAAAAAATATAGGGATATGAGTATAAGTGCAGGAATATAGAGTAAAATTTTCTTAGAGTGATCAACATAGACATCATAGAGCATATAACTGTTAGGTTGGATAGGTTGGCCCAACCCGATAGTTTGGCCCAACCCGATAGATATCCATCCTTAATAGGACTAATGAGATTCTTTAATTAATGTAATTTATTTCCACCCTGTTTGTTATTATTTTTTAAATATTTTTTTAGCCTTTCAAACAAAAAATTTCCAAAAGAAAACCGTTCCCCTATAAATACTACTCGAGCAAAACTTCTCAGTTAAGAATTCCACTACTTAAGGAAGCGAGAAAACGATCATCATCATCAGTTTTCGGAAACAGAACAATCAAAATCAAAAATCAACACCGGAGAGTGATCGAAACATGGCGAAACTGAAGATAGCAGGATCATGGTCCGGCGTATTAGAAGAAGTCGATTTGGCGAATTGGACCATATCTTCGTTACGCGAAGAAGTTGCCAAGCGATCCAATTGCCAAAACCCTCACTTCATCAACTTCATATGCGCCGGTAGAATTCTCAAGGACGATAACGGAACCCTAACGTTAACTCAATTGGGCGTTAAGAATAACTCCAAGATTCTCGCTACTCTCTCTTCTCCTCAGCAGGGTCAGTCCCTTGTTGTCGAGGAACAGAGCTCTCACAGGCTTGCACGTATCAGGTAACTGAATTGTTGTTGCTGGTATTGGCTTTGTTAATGATTTATCATGTATTTTCCACTGTGATCAACGTAATGTTTTTGAGAATGAATGATTGAAATTGAACATGCTTTTAACCTTCAAATTAATGTATGAGTATTGTAACCGATTTCGTTAGTCAAGTTATTAGTGATTGAAGTTATTTTTTTACTAAATAAACAAGTGATCAGAATTCATGCTATATCACTGACACCTCTGGAAAAAAGTGATGTATAGAAGGGACCGACACTTGTAATTACATCTAATTTATTTATTTTTTCAAATTATTAGCAGTCTCGGTGGGTCATATTTCTGGTGTCCATTCTTCATAGGACTGAATTGACCAATGAAACGTAAATTGAAATTCCATGTTAGTTAGGGAATCAACAATTTAATCTTTGAAACTCTAAATATTTATGAAATTTAGAAATATTTGATCTTATTCAGTTAATTATGTTCCTAAAATTGGTTTGAATGGATGTGGTATCGGTGTTTTAAATTTTGGGACATTGTATGGCTTTTACAACTTCAGGGACTAAATTGACGATTCTCTTGACTTGGAGATGGTAGCTTAGGTTTTATTTATAATATTTCTATTACTCCTTAACAATATGAATGGACATCACTAAAGGCGCATTCAGCACATGATGGGAACTGAACTGGATAATATGTTTTGTTATGTTCTCTTTTGCACCACGCTTTTATGTGGAATCATGCCCACTAATTTTTTTTGTTATGTTGTAATTTCAACATTCACCATGTATAGAACCAAACTCATGCTTTGTTCTGTTGTGTTCTAACTTCTCTATCAGACACTACTTTTATTCTTTAGTAAATAAGGTTTTGCTATTTACTCCTTTTGGACCATTTCCTTGTTTATTCAGTAGGAAATACACGACTTGTAAGTGATAAAGTGAGGTTTATTATATTCTTAAAAATCCTTTTATATGCAATTTTGTTTTAGCGTGACCAGTCAAATTAGTCCTTAGGCAATAAAACCTAGGTCGTAATAGTTCCTCGAATGATAGAAGTTACATGCATGGCCGACGAATATGGTCTAATTTCCAAATTATGCTGTAAATGTGAATTTTATGTGGGGTTTAGTTCTGCCAAAGAAATGAATATGGAACTTTGAGCATAATGACCTAAAATGATTGAATATGCATATATTTCAGGGAGTGATTTGACTATTTGCACTTCATTTAGCTTTTAAAAATTTTACCAAAACTTTTTTTAGCCCTGGAATTTTAAATCTCATAACTGCTGTACCTTTTTCCTGTCCTAGTTGTTTTAATGATGAAAAAGGAGATTTGATTTGGTCATTCTTTTGGAATTGTACAAGCATATGTATACATGAAAGATATAACCATGGTTGTACAAGCATTTATGTTTATATACATGAAAGCTATAACAAGGGTTTTACAAGCATTTATATACATGAAAGATATAACCATGATTGTACAAGCATTTATGTACATGAATGCTATAACAAGGATTTTACAAGCATTTATATACTTGATTGATATAATCTGAAGAGGACTATTTTGTTATCAAGATCCTATAATTTTGGGATCAGATCAAATATCCCTTAACTACTGTAATTATTACAGCTGATGATAAAGACAGCTTACCAACAAATCTTATTAGAATCAATATTAATATCTCAACTGATACTATGTTGGCATTAATACTCTCTCCGAAGCTTATTTGAGTTTCATGCAAACAGGGCAGCTGCAACTGCATTGGCTGAAAGACACGCAGATGGTTCATTGCCAGTTGAAGACTTTAACATAGAAGTTGAAGATCAAAATGGACAGAAAGTAAGCTTAGGATCAGAGCTTGATCAGAGGTATAAATCACTGACATTTTCATGCATCTAGGTGGAATTCATATGTATCAGTGGGGGGTTTTAACTATAAAAGGACAATATACCATTTTGACTGTTGAAATGATAGTCAATTTATGGTTTTGCAGGGCAGTGATGATGGGACTGATGCTTCATGCAAAGGGGAAGCGTCTTATCAAAGGGGGTAATTACAAAGATGCACTTGAAGTGCTTACTATGGGAGAGGTCAGTGGCTTATTATCTTAAGGCAAATCCTAACTTGTGCCCTAAGGGCACAATTTAAGGAGCTCACTATATAAGTATTCTCTTAAAAGATGTGCTCTTAGGGAACAAGTTAGCTGAATCCTTAACTTATTTATCTTGATATAGGTTATAGTTTGCTGCAAACTTCTTTTTTAAATTGGTGTAGAAGCAAATTAATGTTAGTAGTATAAATAACCAATGTGCTCAATGTAATATGAGGAAAATGCACTTTATTGTAATTGTCTGTTGAAGTTAACCCCTTTCATTAAGGTACAGGCCAAGGAGTTTTCAAACATAACTTATTTCCTATCTTACTTTATAAATTTGAAAGTATTTGTTACTTTGGCTTATAATTAATGAAGTTGCACACTTGCCCTCTCTTCTGTCTAATTTTTTTCGATAAAACTTTTTCATTAACCAACCATCTATTCAACAAGGTTGGTTAATGAAAAAGTTATGTTATATCTCAAATATGTCCCCTCTTGGAAGAGCCCTTTTGGCTTAAAGTGTTGAAAGCACGAACTCATCTACCTTTTTACAGAAATTTTCAACTTTTTATTAGAAGGATGGGGTGGCACTGGCAGTGCCAAGGACCCACTTGGTCGAAGAGGCTTTACTACGATATTGTGATCCAACATTTTCAATAGCTTGAACTGTTTGATGTTTTTATATATTATATCTATCAAAGTTAATTTATTCAAATGCTTTTTGTCATGTCATTAATTACAGCATTCCATGTGAAATTTACTTTGCAGGAGGCATTCTCTATTTGCGATCCAAAAGTCATTGAGGTGAGTAGTCCATTTTATTGGTTATATTTTCATTTTGACTTATGACAGAATTTACCTGCCAATTATTTATTTAAGCTGTATATTTATTTCACCTGAACTGCTTATTTACTGCGTATTTAAATAGTCACCGCCGGTTTTTTATTGCACAAAATTGGGAAAATCCCCTTGGCAGCAACTCTGCAGAACTTTGAGGGTCTATACTCCCAATGCCTAAACTGAAGGCCCCAACACTTTTTAGTTGACTAGATACTCTCGTCCTATCTCTATTCCATTATTTACTTGGTGTTATATCCTACTCTCTAATTACTCAACTCCACTAATAATCTAATTGAAACTAACTATCTAACAAATGGGATTATCTAACATTATTTGTTCTCTTTTCCCTCAAATCTCATTTACGGCTGAAATAGTTCCCCTAACCCCAAAAAAGAGCTTGTTGTAGACCTGCATTTTAAAGAAGTTATTGAATCACCTGAAGAAACATTTGTACCTAAAATAGCCAGAGAAAAAACTATAGAACAGACAAGTACCTGAAGAAACAATTTTACCTTATTGCCCACCACACTCACCTAAAAATTCAAAGTTGTGGCAAAACTCTAATTTGGTGTTCACTTTTCCATGATATTCAAGCAATGAACATGTTAAAATATAAAAGAAAAGGGAGTTAGAGTAGTTAAGAGCTGTTAGAGCAATTAGTTTAGTAGTTGGTTAGTTTGTTATCTGGTTGTTCGGCCTATTAGTGGTTATGTGCTGTTTCTGTTCTTGTTTTAGTTATTTTCAATAAGTTTTCAAATAGCCCTCAATGGGTAGAGGGAAAGACATATCTGAATAATTGACTTTTATGACTGCTCAATCCAGTAAGAGGAGAGTGCTCAATCCATTGAAAGGAGAGTGCACTCCTATGTGTTCATTGTATACTTTTTGCTTTCCTTTTTCTTGCTTAATACAGATTTCTTCTTTCTTTGTCTCTTCTTCCTTTCCTTTTTGTAATCCTTATGCTTTTGTTTACTCAATACTGTTTTGTTCTGGGAATTCTTTCTTACTCAAAGAAAAGAATCCTAACAAAACATTATTAATTCCAATTTTCTTTAAAGATAATTTTCTACAGAATTTGGCTCATCCTAACAGAACAATAGAGTGGAAAGTGTGGAATTATATAACCTTTCATAAAAAATTAAAGGAATGAATCTTCATAGCTTAGGATATTTATGCATGCATTTTATCCATATTTTTTTCTTTGATATTTCAATTGTCCAAGTGTTCTCTTCTCCTTAAAAGGAGCCAGCTTCTTTTTTGTATGTCTTCCTAATCTCTGAAATTAATACAATTTCTGTCTATTCAGCTTATTGACAATGTTCCAATATTGCAAATTGACATGGTATGGTGCTACTTTATGCTACGAGACATTAGATGGCTATCAGATGCTGGGAAGCGCCTTGAAATGGCTAGGGTAGGAATTGGACGTGCTCATGGGAAGGATTCTCTCCGCCTTAGACTCTTACAAGGTGGTCGCTATCCAGAACTTGCATTGTGAGTTATTTCGGTGGACTGTTTATCTTTTTGTTGCCTTTGAAATTATCAAATTACTGGGATGCAATTAAAAGTAGATTAGTTATCAGTATTTGTTTGTTAATTTTTAAGTTGGCTGAATATTTGTACATAGGCATTTGAGACTAGAGCTTCTTGAAGGGGTGGTGGCATTTCATACTGGCCAGTTGGAAAAATCAAAGCAAGCATTAGCTTCTGCAAGGGCAAAGTTTGTTCAGGTGGGTTGAAGTATTATAGCATATTGTAATAAATTTGAGTAGGATAAAAATCAACATTTATGCACATTCTAGTTGTTGGTCTCCTTATTTGGTCTCGCAATAGTTGATAGCGGTCCTATATATAATAGTCTTTAGGAGCTTATAGGGTCGAATCATGGTTTCATTGGTTTGAAAATGTAAAATAAGATTGCCAGCAATAGACTCATAATGAGCCCAACTCTCGTCTAAAATGTTCTCTTGTGTTGCAGCTGCAAGTGCCAGATGAAGCATTATCACTTGTTATGAGCATGGGCTACAATGAACGTAATGCAAAGAGAGCATTGCGAATGAATAATCAAGATGTTGGGGGTGCCATTGATTTTCTTGTTGAGGAGAAGGAAAAGAAAATGCAAAAAAGGGAGGAAGATTTAAAAAGAAGAAATGAAATTTGGTGGGTGCAACTTAATGTTTATTGACTTTTTATTTTCTTTATCTCGGTATATGAATAGCTTTCTTCCAGGGAGCAAAAGAAGTTTGGCGTGACCCCCTTAAAAAAGGCCGTGGATTTGGAGAGACTGAAGGAATTGGTCACTATTGGGTGAGTGTTGTTTTTCTGTTCTATTGGATGCATTTGTTTTGAATTTGTAAATAGACTAGACTACTCTGGTTTAAAATTAGCATATTGGCAGATAATAGCATCAAAAGAAGGTTTTAGGGGCTATTATCATCCATTGCTTATCTGCCACTTATAATTTTTATGTCGTAGAATCTATGATTGCATATATTCATTTCTAACATACCCTTACGATTTATTCTTACTGATCTTTACTGGATAAGGATAATAAAATATTAATATATAGGTGTTTCACAAAACTTAACATTTACTATTCTAGTTAAACTTGACACTGCTATTCTGGCAGGTTTGAAAAGGAGCTCGCTGCTGAAGCCCTTAGAAGAAATGAAAACGATACTCAGAAAGCATTGGATGATTTGACGAATCCAGAAACCAATTCTGATTTACAGGTAAAAACATGTCTTAACTGAATTCTATGCAACTTTAAACTATGTTATAACTTACTTTAATCAACACGAAGGATAATATCGAGACAAGGAAAAGGAAAAGACAGAAACAAGCAAAAGATTCTGCAATTGAAAGAGTTGTGCAAATGGGGTTTCAAAGATCAAGAGGTACATAAGTTATTTACATTTTAGGCACAATAATTTGTACAAGTGAAACATTACAGAGAGTTACAGGGTGTTCTGTTTTATTCTTATTTCCTGCTTCTTTGCAGTGCTTGCTGCTTTTGAGGAAGATGACAAGTTAGACAAAGTATTGCAAAGACTGACAGCACAACCTGCGGTGGAGAATATGCAACCTCAAGGGAATTCAACTGCTGCTTCCCATGACAATGCAAGTTCATCTAACCCTTTACCAGACGATGTTAGTTCTGATATTTTAGACCTAATGAATGAGGTTGAAGATGACAATAAAGCTGCAGAAAGGGACGTGGAGATGGAAGATGAGCTCTCTGCAGATATAGCTAATGGTGATGCCTTCACTGATTATGACATTGAAGTTAATATAGAAGGGGAAGCCATAACTGAGTACCTGTCTATGGTCGAGTCAGCAGGCATTACTTCCAAATAAGAAGAAAATGATTTGAAGACTAATTTTCGGTTTTATGTAAATAGCTTTCTGCCCTTTGCAAATGTGAGCTTATGTAAATATCTGGATGGATACATTTGTGCTCATTCTCTGGAGAAATTGATATTTAAATACTTAATTTGCTTTTGAACTAGCTAAATAAATGCAAGGGAAAATTTAAAAAAATGTTATATTAGGCTAAGTTGTTGAATGAAATAACTGTTTTAATAGCTTGATTGTTCTCAACTTTAGTGACTGTTTATTGTTTTAAACTTGTGCATATTTTCCGGATTCAACTGATATGAATCTGTATATTTTTTTCGGATTCATTTCATTGAATAACATCTTAATGTAGTCAATTGAACATATAGATTTTCTTGAATGATTTTGAGGTTTATATATATTCCATCTTGTTGAAACTGTACGTTCTTGGAGAGAAAGAGATGAAGAAAAATTGTAAGACCATGAATGAAATCAAACAAGAACATAAGTAATCTCCAACTCTTTTCACTTTCAATTTATGTTCTTGATTCCTCCTAGCCGCCATTCATTTCACTTGTTGCAAAGAAGAAAATCAATATTGAAGGGGGAATGTGAGCATGAAGCCATCAAATAGGAAAAATGGGCTTTTAGTTTCAAAGAATGAAGAATCAAGTTGGAAGTTAGGATTTCAAGAGCAAATGGAGACACTATGATGATTTAGGATGGATGTTGGAACATTAGGATTTGATGAATTAGATTTTTTTTTTTTTTTTTTAATTTGATGCATGTAGTGACTCTAAATAATATTAGGTTTGATCTTAGAATATTAAGAACTACAAACAATTATGTTATTTTACACAATTTCTAACACTACACGGTATACTTCTACTTTCAAATACAAATCATTCAGTAATTTCATCTTTTTTAAAGGGTACTTTTGTCATTTCAATTTAACTCCTATTAGCCAATTTCTTCTCGTTTGTCCTAACCTCTCTCCTCCTCCACCATAACTCCAAATGACTCCTTCACCATAACTCCAGATGACTCCATACTCTCTTCTCCTCCATCATAATAACTCCAAAGAACTCAAAACTCTCTCTCCCCTGTAACATAACAAAATTGTCCCCTCTTCTCCTCATAAAACCAAACTTCATTAACTCTCTCTCCCCTGTAACATGACAAAATCGTTCCCTCTTCTCCTCATAAAACCAAACTTCATTAACATAAAATAAATTCAAAGTTCCGTTGTTTACTGGTAAATCACTTAATGAATTATATTAATTATATTTTAATTTATATTAATAATTTTTTTTGATATACAATTAACAAATTTTGTTTTATTTGTAATTTACTTTAATTTTTTTATATCTTCTAGTGTTATAATTGCAAAGAGTCTCGTCTAAAGCGATGACTTCATATTGTCCAAGGAAAGGCGACGCGTGAATATCGCCCAAAGGAATGTATCACCTCGTCCCATTAGGTTGTTTCCTATCGCCTCATTATGGAAAACGTGTGATAAGGTGTTACTTGGATAGAGGAAAAGTCAACGTCATTACTGACCTATGTGTCCCTTAAGAATAGATATTAACAGTCTACTATTTACAAGTGGGCAACAATCCTTTTTAAGGAAACCTTAGGTTCAGAGTGCCTTTATAAATACCTATCCCCTCAAGGAAAGATGAACAGACTCGAAATCATACACACTCTCCACAATTCAAAGGGCATCACGCTCATTACATTCTTAGCACATACGCCTAACCTAATCGACCGGCTGCAACCAAGCATCGCTGGCCATCAACAGGGTCTTTCACCTTGCATAAGCAGGTTCCTTAAACTACCTTAAAACACCACGGTACAGAACTTCTTGCCACCATGAGCAAGCCCTCACCACCAAAACGTATTATACACTTACTAAGGCCTCTGAGTCTCTATGTCCTTGTAAGGGGAACTGGGAGACTTGAAATTTTTGACCATTATAGTGGCGCCTACTGTGGGACCCCGATAAAACTAACCCGAGCCACATCTTCAGTCTAACCCTTCCACCTCCCTTTTGAAGATGTCTTATAGGGTCCTACGTTGCGAAACAAACACCATTACCAGGGGTATCTTCAGGAGACGCAATTTCAGAGCCGCCTGAAGAAGATACACAAAGCAGGTGTTCGCAACAAACCTTATATCCTATGGCTTCCCTAGAAGCGTCCTACAGAAAGCAGGGGTTGACATCGTTTTCTCTAAAGAGGATGACATTGGTGTTAACCCTTACAACGATGATCTTTTAGTCATCATTATCCAGCACGGTAATTGGGATATAAAATGCGTCTTGATAGATCTGAGTAGCTTCGGTTATGCGTTGTTTTGGGATGTCTTTCAGAAACTACAATTAGATCCGAGTGACATAAAGAGATTCAGTGGTTCCTTAATAGGATTATCAGGCGAACATGTACAAATAATGGGTCATGTTACCCTAAAAACGACATGCGAAAAGGTAGCGAACACCAAGGTCATTGACGTCAGTTATAGTAGACACCATGTCACCTTACAACATCATCCTAGGGCGTCTTGCTATCAATGCCCTAGGAGTGGTCATATCCACCCGATATTTAACCTTAAAATATTCTCTCCTAGATGGGGGAGTGGGTACAACCTAAGGATATCAACAAGAGGCTCGAGAATGCTACCTCGGCAGCTTGGAGACAACCAGAGAAGATCTTACAATGGTTTATGTCCATCATTTAAAAGTTCCAAATACTGACTTCGTGGGTTGAGATCGTAGATTGGGAAACTTGAAGGAAGTCCAAATAGGTCCTCACACCCATCAAGTTACGAAGATAGGCACTTCCTTGTCTACAGTGGAAGAACAAAAAGTAGTCAACCGACTCATAAAGAATGTGACCTGTTTGCCTAGGGCCCCTCATACATGGCATGTATAGACACAAAGGTAGTAATACATCGCCTTACCAACCATCCATCCGCCAAAACAATAGCACAAAGGAAACGAAAGGTAGGCGAGGAAAAGAGGGTCACCGTTGAGGAAAAGGTGGAAAAACTATCCAAAATCAGATTTATCATTAAAACAAAATACCCCACCTAGCTGGCCAACGTAGTTCTAGTACGAAAGGCCAAATAATATATGGCGCATGTGTGTAGATTTCACGGATCTGAATGCTACCTGTCCCAAGGATCCATATCCATTACTAGATATTGAGTGCCTAATTAATACGTCGTCAGGCTACCACACATTAAGTTTCATGGTTGTCTACTCATGATACATTAAGTTCCATTACTATAATATCACGCTTTTCGACCTCAAGAACGTTATCGCCACATACCAGGGACTCATGGATGTTGTCTTCGCCCATTAGATATAGTGGAACCTAGAGGTATACGTTGACGACTTGATTGTTAAAACTGGGGAAGAGCATAGCCATTCTGACAATTTGAAGGACATCTTGTAATCAGTAAGAAGGTATGATATGCGCCTAAACCCCACAAAGTGCTCCTTTGGGGTTCAAGAAGGGAAATTTTTAGGTTTTATATTAATTAGGAGAGGTATTGAAGTGAATCTAGACAAGTGTCAAGCGGTTATCGACATGAGGAGCCCCATAAATGTGAATGAAGTACAACAACTCTCTGAGCACCTTGCTACCCTATCATACTTCCTCTCATGAGCAGGAAATAAAGCCTTCCTTTTCTTTGTTGCTCTGAAGAAAATGGAGAAGTTCGAATGGACCTTCGAGTGTGAGGTGTCTTTCATCTAGGTTAAGAATTTCCTCATATCGCTTGCAATCTTCACTCGCTCGAAGGATGACTCACCTTTACTCCTTTACTTCTCGGTTACAGAGCAGGTGATAAGATCAGTCCTTTTCCAAGAAGTAGAGGGGGCAAAGAGACATGTGTATTTCATAAGCAATGTGTTCAAATTCGCGAGACACGCTATCCGAAAATTAAGAAGATGTCGTTGGTCGTTGTTGTTATGGCTTGGAAGCTTAGGCAGAGCTTTCAGAGGCATAAGATCCTAGTAAAAACCAACTACCTCTTTCAACAAGTGTTGAAAAAACCCGACCTGGAAGGAAGACTGGTATCTCAGGCGATAGAGTTCTTAGAGTACAACATCAAACACGTCTTGAGGGGAAGCATCAAATATCAATCCATGGCTGACTTCGTAGAAAAACTCAGGTCATCCATAGACGAGAACTATCTTTAGAGTGGGAACTATCTGTAGACGGTACCTCTTACGTGAAAGGTGTAAAGCCAGATGTGTGGCCATCCTAAGCCATTCCACTTGGCACTAGATCAGTTGAATTTCTTGATAGTGGGACTCGATTATTTCACCAAAATGATAAAGGAATAGGCAATGACCAATATTATGACAGAAAGAGTGTCATGTTTCTATTGGTAGAAGATAATATGTCGATACAGACTCCTTGAAGCCATTGTCTCAGACAACGGGACCCAGTTTGCAAGCGCCATTGTCACTGGCTTTTGTAGAGACTTAGGCGCGCAGACGGAATTCGTGTTCGTGGTACACCCCCAAGCTAACGGTCAAGCTGAGTTGGCAAATAGAGTAATCCTTAAGGGACTCAAGAAGAAACTTGATGACACTAAAGGCCTATGAGCGGGACTGCTTCATGAGATATTATGGTCGTACCACACCACACCATATTTCACTAACAAGGAAACTCCATTTTCCATGGTCAACAAGGCAAGCACAATGTTGGTCATAGAGATTGAGATGCTCCCGTGGCGACAAACGTAGTTCAACAAGGAGTTGAAAAAGATAGGTTTAAAATATGCATCAGATATGATCGATGAAGTAAGAGTGGTTTTCATGTTTGAGAATCCATTGCCAAACACAGGGCCGCGAGAAGGTACAACTCCAAAGTAAAGCCAAAAGAGATGCGAGAGGGTGACTTGGTATTGAAGGAAGTGGTCTTACCCGCACAACAGGGGAAGATGCAACCTAACTGGGAAGGAACCTACCGCATATATCAGAAACTCCCTCACGGAGCATACAAGTTACA